ACTAACGACTACACTTTTATTTATATATATATATATATATATATTTCTCACTCAATAATACGTGCATTCCTCCTTAGGCGCAATAGCCGGAGGAGGATAGGTGCACTAATTAAATAATTCTCCACATTTCAATTTCCTACGACAGTAAGGCAAAACTGAAAACGAACCGAAGCTGGTTCTAAATATGTAGCTAGCAGCGACATGTGATTGTCAAGTTGTTAAGCAATCTACCAGTGAAGAATGTCATTTTATTTTCCTAAAACAATACTAATCTTATACTGTTAAATTTTATTTTAATTTGTTAATTAATTTATCATACAAAAAGCTTTTTGTGAGGAATTCTTTCATCAATGAAGTATTCCAATGTGAAGGAGTTAATGTTGAGGAAAAACCTTGTGTATGTGGACGCACTCCATTATGCAAACTAAGGCTGTACAGACTCCATGAGCTAACACATCTTTGGAAGGAAGAATCCCAAATTGAATCAATTTTTAGTAACCTAAAAACTCTAGATGTTCAAGAATGTAGCAGATTGAGGAATTTAGTGCCATCCAATGTACATTTCAACAATTTTGCAGACTTTGGAAGCATCCAAGTGTCATGGACTTGTCAATTCAGTGAGATACTCAACTGCAAAAAGCCTGGTGCAACTCAAAACAATGCAAGTAACCAAATGTGAGACGAGAGACGAAATTGTGGTATGCTTGGATGATGATGTGAAGGATGGCATTATTTTCACCAAGCTGGAGCATTTGCAACTTGAAGGTCTACCAAGACTAGCAAGATTATGTTCAGGGGTTTGCAACTTTGAATTCCCAGATTTGGAAGTTGTCATTGTTAGTGACTGTCCAAATATGCAGATTTTCTCCAATGGAGAACTAAGCACACCAAAACGGGCCAAATTGAAAGAATATTATGGGGAAGAAGGACGCGGGGAGGGCAACCTTAACTGCACCGTACAACGGGTGTTCAAGGAAAAGGTATGCATTATTCTGAATGCTCCCTGGTGTTTTTTTACTTTTTAAAGATTTTTCTTCTCCTTAATTATCCAATTAAAGACATTATCAAATTAATTAAAGTATCTCTTTCATTATTATTATTTTTTTTTGAACAGCAAATGATATATTCATTGATGAAAATACTGAGTACAAGGAGTACTCCGACCCTTGCTACAAATACAAGAATCAGCCTTTCAATGTTAATCCTATCTTTCGGGTCAATACTACTTTCCTCTACAGTTTACTAAAAGACAAGCAGTAGGATCAATCATCCAATCCGAAAGACTGAAATAACAGTTTACTAAAGTAGTATCTCCTTCATTATGATTTTCATTTTTTAGAAAAATTGTGTCTGCTTCTCCCTTGTTAATGACAAAATCTAGAAATGACAAATGCACCAGGGTGGAAGGCCATGATAATTTAATGAAACTCTTTTCTTTTAATTTGCTTTACAAATCAGGGAAAAGCATTTTCAGTCATAAATTGACATTTTTGCTGCAATTTTTTCTTTTACCTTTCATTGTGTTCTTTCAAAAAAGGCAATGCTTAATGGTTCTAAGGAAGACAGATCACTGAAGAAGATTTATGTTAATTAATTTTTTCTGCTACCTATTAGATTATTTTAATTAATGGTTCTAAAAGTGTTGGGATTTAGGTGACATTTCTGT